GCTTTACCCTTCCAAACCTGTATCGGACTTGACAGGTGACAATAGCTGTGGGAGAGTAAGAGGTGAGACTGAGAGGATTTGAAGCAGCATACAAAAGATGCTTTCATTGATCCTGAGCTTCGTTGAAAGGTGACCTTGTTGTATCCTCTGTGGGGAGAGCCTCCCGTGTCAGATCCTATGGATCTTTCCTATTACCTTGATTAGATTCCTCAGAGAACAGTCCTCCATTCTTCTACCTGGAAAGTGAAGATCAATTTGCCAGTGGTCTGAGAGTCAAATAGGGCAGATAGATGGCTGTAGTCTGTCATTCACTGTCTTCTGGTCTCTGTGAGTCCCCTGTTTTAGTGAGGGCAGTTAAGAATCTAACTTCTTATTTCCTTCACTTGCTTCTAATTGCTTTCACTCATTTCTCCTTATTTTAGCCTTCTTCTTTATCTTCAGTCTGAATGGCCCCTCATTCTGGCAGTTTCCGAGGCTTTTGAGGTCTTTCCAGTGTAAGTCAGGTTGGAWCTCATCTTTCTCAGGTCTGTTAAATCATTCACCACTCATCTGTCTATTTTCCAGCTTCAAAAAACTGTGTTGCTCTTTTCTTCTCCCCTATTCTCTTTTTCTTATAATTTTTATGACACAAGAAAGAAAGAGAAAGAAAGAAACAAAGAAAGGATGGAACGGAGTGAGGAAGAAAAATAGAAATAGAAAAGAAAATCTGTTCAGTGCAGTTTTGGGATGGAGCAAAATTAGCTYCATGCATATATCTGCTGCCTTAGTCTGAACCCCACCCATAGGTATACACATAGCTGCCTCCTTTGTGTCCTTCCTGTTTCAACTTAAATGCTGCCTCCTTAGACTAGCCTTCCCTGACCACTCAACTAGAATTAGGTCCCTATCAACATAGCACTCTCACAACTTGGTAGTTTATTATTTATTTATGGCCTTCTCCTTTAGAATATAAACTCCAAAAAAAAAAAAAGGAATGGATGAATGAATAAATAAGTAAATAAAAATAAGTTTTAGAGCTGGGTATAGGGGTGCATGTCTGTAATCCCAGCAACTCAGGAGGCTGAGGCAGGAGGATTGCAGATTCAGGGACAGCCTCAGCAATTTAGCAAAGCTCTAAACAATTTAGTGAAACCCWATCTCAAAGGGGGRAAAAAAAAGGCCGAGGATGTAGCTCATTGATTAAGTGTCCCTGGGCTCAATCCCCAGAACTGGTGGGGGTTGGAAGTGGGGGAAGGTACCTAGCACATGGACAAAGAGCAATAGTTTTGTTTGGAAATAACATTTTGAATATCAAGTGAGCTTCAACCTTGTGTGTAATCTATCCTGAACAAAGCAATAGATTGCTATGTTTAAAGGAGCAGATGATGTGATAGATGCTTGCARGTCCCACAGAATATGAAGAGTAAGAGAAACTGCAGAGGAGGAACAGAATRAGAATCTGGAAAGGTCTGACGTTGAAAACTGTGTTCTTGATTTGAATCAAGGTAATCCTGGATTTCCACCCAACCTCTTCCATGGATGGTCTGACAATCTAGAAGGGATCCACCCCCTCTTCTGGAGCAAAGGGGGACATAAAAGACTGGAAGCAGGGAGAAAAGCAGTGTCTGCTGGTGCCTTCACCTCTTCTTTATTTGCTAGTGGAGGAGAGAAGGGCAGAAGGTGGAAATAAACCTGGGAAGGGTCAGAGAAGCTGGGTGGGTGGCAAGCCCTGTTCTGTAACACAGTTGTGTGCAGCCATGTTGCATTTAGGACGGAAGCTGTTGTACCAGGAATTCTTATAGTTATCAACCAAAGACATTTGAGGAGATGGACTTTCACATCTCTGCAGGTTGTGAGTTTTTTGTGACCTTTATTTCATTAAAAAACAAAAACCACACCACCATCACCAACACAAAAATAATTGTAGGTGTTACTATAACAAATTTAGACCTCTTTAAAGAATAGTTAACTTCCTTTCCAATACTATTGACTTTTAGCTCAACAGATTATTTGCAGTTAGTTTTATTTTCTTTTCTTTAAAAAAAGTTAAAATTGGTAATATATTCACATGGTTCAAAATTCAAAAATCATAAAAGGGTATAGAGTGAAAAGTGCCTTTTCCAGGTACCTTTGAGGTCTTTGTTTCTAAGAACATCAGTATAAACAGGTCCTAATGTCCTTCTAGAAAATTTCCCTGTCATTCCAGGATTTCTTTTGGACACTGTTAAAGAGGAACAGGACTACTCAGGGCACATGCATACACAGGACCTTTCCTCTAGGTGAGCTGAGGGTAAAGTGTTGGCTCCTCAATTTTATCTGTAAAGAAGCTCCAGTAACAGAAGCCAGTGTAATTTGGGGAAGAAGGGGTTCCTCTGGGTTCTTTGGCAGATGTCACAGGTGAAAAGGAACTGTGGAGGGGGTTTTGGACATGGTCTGCCAGGTGTCAGGTGCACTCTTCTCACTGTAAGAAGGGATGGCTAAACACATGGTATAGATATGGCAAAAGAAATCACGGCTGTCATTTTTGATAGGAAGCATCAATATGGTAGATAAGGGTCTACTTCAAAGAGGATGTTGTGTGGGATATAAACTCAGAGAAAGAAAGTTGTTTTAATAAGCCACCAAATTATATCTTTATAAAAGTAAGTAATTCTCCTGCTGAGCTATAGGGTTCTTCAATGGAAGAGGGAGCAAAAATAAGAGTCAGATTGTTTGTAGGAAGTATGCTAACAGATTGACAGCAATGGGGTAGGGGTGGGGGTACAGTTCTGGGAATTAAGTTAGACTGGATCTGACATCTCCTAACTGGAGGTATGCCTGTCTGAAGGTGGAACATCTCTATGAGGCAGAGGAGGGAGGAACAAGCAAAATTGGAAGATTCATAATACTGAAGATTCCAGTGAACCTTTTAAGCAAAGGGATAGCTTTTGAAAGAAAACTGGGGTGGGCTATAGCTGCATCTCAGTGGTAGAACATTTGCCTATCATGCACAAGGGTCTGGGTTCAATCCCCAGCATCAATCCTGGCTCTAGTACTTCTCAGCAGTGTGAATGTGGGTGAGTTACTTAAACTCCTTTTTCCTTAGTTCTCTAATAGGGATAGTACATAAGGACAATAGTCATCTCTCAGTGGAGTGTTGTGTGAACAACTGAGTTAATCCACAATGAGAGTTTAGAACAATGCCTGGCACCTAGTTAGCTAACTCAATGCTTTTCAGCCATTATTATTTTGAATAAAAGATTGGGCAGACCTGTTTTTACTGGCATAGAAATACTTGGTGATGGATCTGGAAAGGCAGAATCATAGACGGATTTCAGGTAATGACAGAAGGGGAGAATGGAAAGAAAAAGAGTAAACAAAAGCATGGCAAGGACACACCAAGAATTAGGAGGATAAAGGGTTCTCTGTTGGGCTATTCAGAGAAAAAAAAAACGAAAACAAAACAAAACTTGTTGCATGTTCATTGTTTTGAAAGCTAGATAGTATAAATGAAAATTAAATGGAAAACTTAAATTTCTATTGAAGAATTTGTGTGTGTGTGTGTGTGTGTGTGTGTGTACCCACTTAGAGCTCAAAGTATGTTGCCACGGATGACCAAGTTGGAGATGGAACCCAAGATCCTTATGAAGTGGTAATCTATCAAGATCATTGTACTGTCATGTGTAACTAATTAAAACAAAAAACAAAACAAAACAAAAAGAAGTGGTAATCTAGTCTTAGTTCTGTCACAAGTGACTGATGTTGAGTCAAGTCAACTAATGACTTTTTGTTTGTTTATTTGTTTTTGAGACGGGACCTTACTTGGTGGCTGGACTGGTCTTAAGCTCCTAGGTTCATGTGATTCCCCTGTCTCAGCCTGCAGAGTAGCTGAGCATGCAGAGTGTACCACCATATTTGTCACAATGACTGTGTCACCTTTAAAAGGGGCTAGAATARTTTCTAGGCTCCATGTTTATGTAACTTCTTTGGTCTTAATCAGGGGCAGGGTCTCAAGAGAATTGAATTGTTCTTCTCACTCCTAAGTCTCCTCCCCTGGGGAAGGGTTGGTTGGAAACCAAACAAAAAACTATTAAAAATCAAAGCATCTATCTGGCATTCATTTCTCTTCCGTTAGATACCTTGCCATAGGGAAAAGATTTCCAAATACTGGCATTATGTGTGTGTGTGTGTGGGGGGAGGCATCTTTGACTTTTCTATTTCAGGAAAATTTATGTTTTCATTTTTCTCCSGTGATCTGCCTAGTTTTTTCCAGATTGAAATGGGAAGAATTTCAAAAAGTGAGATTCACTGAAAGGAAATGAAGTTTTTTTGGGAGGTTGAAAAGATAGATTGGGATTGTTGGRGTTCAAATTAACCATTTTAACAAACGCTGCACTAGAGTGTGGAATCCAGCTAAACAGAAATATGAGAGACTGATTCGTTAAGGTCTCAGGACACTGGACATATAAATAGGTCGTGTCACACAAATGAGTCACAGGAAGCTTATAAACCCTCAAAAAATTGGTATCTTAATTGGGACAGTAGGCTAGGGGATGTGCTGGCCATATAAAACCACTGCTCCTGACTGTGACCCTGAAGAAAAATCTCCTTGCTTAGAAGAAAAATCTTGAGGACATGGCTGCCTGCCAACGGGCTATGGACCTGCATCTTGTTTGCTCATCATCCTGTCAGTCATTTTCTTTCCTCTCTCTTATTTCTCTAAAGAACACAAAAATCTGAATTCAGAAACATCGAGACGTGAGCTTCTTTTCAGAGATGAAATCGTCACATTGTAGAGTTCCATACTAATGATTCTTGCCTAGCCTTGCGGAAACCAGGAAACCTCTGACCAGACCGGAGGGGTCCGCACTGCGGGGCGAAAACCAACACCTCAGCTCCAAACCCAAAGGTTTCAATATCAGCCAATCGCGGTCCGGGACTTCTCGGGACAACCAGAAACTCCTACCGGCGGTGAATAGCACTGAGGAAAGCCTATCCGAGTGGAGGTGGCGGAAGGGGTGGTGTCATAACTAGCCAATAGGATGAAAGTAATTGCTGTTGGGCGGGAGGAAGACCCAGCGAGCGTGCGTGAGGCCGCTCCCGGGAAGCAATGGCAGGAAGCTCTTAGGGCCAATGGCCGCGGCGAGCGGGCAGCGGTGCGCTTGCGCTCTGGGGCCCGGGGCTGCAGGCGGGAGGCGGGCAAAGTGGGGGAGGGGAGCGTGCTGGAGCTCCGTGGAGCTCCTGCAGCCGCGGCAGCCGCCGCCGCCGCAGCGAAGAGGCCATGTTGTGTGGTGTGTGGGGCGGGGGGAGGAGGAGGAGGGAGTAAAGCCGAGAGAGGAGACGGGAGAGACACCACACACACGGCACAAGATGGCCGGAGAGGCAGCAGCACCCAGAGCTGTCAGACGTTTTGCCGCGGCCAAGGTGCCCGCTGGCTGGCGGAGAGCTGTACTCGGGCGGCCCGGAAGCCCGCAGGAGCTGGGTGGCCGTGGCTGAGGCGAGGCGGACCTCGCACGGGTGCCGGAGCTCGTGGCCGAGACGTCCAGGGCTGCCCGGCCCACGACGCCGAAAGCTGGGCTGCGGCAGCGGCCGCGGAGGCGCGCCGGTCCCGGCCGCCTGGACCGAGCGTGGGCGGGAGGCTCTGGCGGGTGGTCAGTCCCGGTATCGAAGATGGAGACCAGAAGGTGCCAGTGGCAGAGTYATACCCGGTAAGTGGCTCCCCGGCTCCTTTTATTGTCCTTTGTCCTTGGGAGGAAAAGCAAAATGTCCTTGAGCGCGCCAGCGGGAGGGGGCGGCGGGCCTCGCCGGCYGGCTTTCCCCACAAAACCCCTGTAAGGTCGCGGCTGCCTCTCCCCGGCGGGACGCGTCTCTGCTGCGGGCCGGGGTCGCGGGCGGGGGTGGGGGCACGCGGGGCCCTGCCGCAGACCCGCGGGTGGGCGGGGGGCTGCTTTGCTGCCGGGACCCGGACCTGGCGGCCAAGGGGCGGCGGCGGGAGACCGCAGGCGGGAGCCCAAAGGGGACCGCACCACGAGAGCCCCTGCATGTCCTGGTGAGTTATTTTGTTATTTAGGGTAAAAAAATCCTTTTCAGGTTCTCCACCTTGGAGCTTTTTAATCTCTTTCCGGTGGTGAGGTGGGAACTCATCTTAGAGGTCGAATTTAAAAGAACAATGGAATCCTGGCTACATTTAAAACAAAAATAAAACTTGTCTTTTTTYCCCCCCCATTGGGTGTTGGCTTTTAACTCTTTCAAAGCTGATTTTGAAAACGGCTGCAGTGTTATAGATGTGAACAGTGTTGCTGTTTATTAAATCTTTTATAACGTTAAGGTTGTCTTTTAAAAATGCAAGTTGGAAGAGTGCATCTAATGTTTCAAAAATTACGAAGACAAGTTTAGTGTATCGTCTGGGCAGCTTAATGGGTATAGATTTGATAATTACGGTGCTAGATGATGACGTTTGATTAATAYAGTTTATTTTACGGAGTAATTATTCAAATTCATTTGACATCCTGATACCTGAATATGGTTAAATATACTGTTTGGTACTTTTTGAAAAGGTCGTAAGGAGCCCTTATCTGTAACTTATCACACCTGAATGTTAAAACGTAGTTGGGTCAGTTCCTAGTCTTTAAAAGTTGAAGTTCATCATCTTTTCGTTTTTTTTTTTTAATTGTATGTTGTTATAAACCATGATCGAAAAACTTTTACAAAGGAGTATTCTGACACAAAATCTCTTCGTGAAGTTACTTTCTCGTAGTGTAAATATTAAAGTAGGACTGCTGTCGGTAATGGGCGATGAAGAGGAGCCATATTTGTTGCATTTGTTGCATGTATAAAAATCTAGATGGCTTAAAAACGGCATAGTATTTTGAAAATACAGGTTTCAAAAAATTGTAACGTTCTCTATAGTCTCTAATTTTGAAAATCTTTGAAGAGGAATTTAAGTTTAGTGGTTTGAAGAACAAACCAGGAATGCACAAAACCTTTGTGTATTTTAGAATATATTTGTCTTCATTCTGCGGAGCTCTTGTGTTGAAAGGGTACAGATCTGCGTAAAAATAGTGTTAGGAAGTCTTACGTAGTACATCTGAAACCAAAGATCCTGGTTTATTTGACCACATTTTTAAAGGTATTTTTACCAGTAAAATTGCTTTTGAATAGCTTTGGCATAGTGGTACATGTTACATCAGTTGCGTATATCWTCATTTTACAGAATGTTGTTTCAGATTCTAATTTTAAGAGCTGAGTTTGGTCCTTTAAATCAACATATTTGAGGTTTTTGAACATTGACTGTGGTTTTAATCTAGTCTTTTTAGAATCTCGTTCTTTAGAAAGAAACCTTTTTGAAGAGTGAAATGCAAAAAAACTGCTAGCAGTTTTAACATCATAAGATCTTTTTACATGTAAATGGAGGAGGAGAAAGACTGAAAATATCCAAGACCCTGGTTTGAAATTAAGTAATGGTAAACATACTTCAAGTTTTAGACTTGTTTAAAAGACAAAGCTAATATCCCACTTGATGAGATCAAATAACTTGTAGTTTAAAATTTAAAGTAACTAGTGGCCATTTTAAACTTCATTAATTTCTCCAGAAGCAGTCAATTTTTAATTAGTCATAACTGTAAAAGGTATTTCTAGATGGTAAAGGAAATTTTGAGTTGATTACATTATTTAAAAATGGTAAACTTTTCCTTTGTTTTGTTTATTGCCAGGCATCAAAAGAGGAAAAATAAAAACAAGGTCATAATCTCAAATCTGTTTAAGGAGTCAAATTTTCTCTATATCTTTTTAATAATTTCAGTGCCTTAATCCTTAGTATTTGTCAATACAACCAAAATGTGGGAAACAAAGACTGATACATAGTAAAGATAAGAAATATCTGCAATCATAAATGTACAGGTTGTGTGTCTTATGAATCATCTCTTTAATTTGTCCATAGATCTTGCATTTAAAATATTTTCTTATTGTTTCATCACATTTAATTTTTGGCCAAGAAATGTTTAAAAATCAAAACATTGATATCATCTTTTTTTTCTTTTTTTTAAGGTTACTTACAGAGTTTAAAATTAATTTGCTGATGGCTTGAACAAATACATCTTTTATCCCAGGTAAGATCTGGTAAATTTTTATTGCTTTGACATAAAATTAGCTTATTATGATTTGTTTTTGTTTTTTATTGATTATATTTCAAATACGCAGTGAATGTTAATGTATGACTTTTTAAAATAGTGATTATGAATTTGAGTAGGTATCTGAAATCATTAAAAAAGCCTTTAAACCTTTTCACTGAATGAAAAAAGAATCTGAGCATGGCCATTGTAATGTAATGTTGCCATGAATAGTTTAAAATGCTGAAAATCTKTTATGCCTTTGTTTAATTTTGGAAACAAGAAAGACTGATTTATTTTGGGGGAAATCTATGTACCAAAGAGATATTCTTTTCTTTTCATCTCTAATATACCATGCAAATGGTTTTAATTTTCTAAATATTTGAAAAAAGTAAATACGTTGGAAAATTTGAATTGGTTTGCTGTTTATTACTTATCAACTTCAGGGAAGAACATTTTAAAAATCAGTTTTGAGCATAGATTTCAGTTTTTGTTTCTTTTATATAATTAGTTGTTTTTAAATTTTTACTTATGTTGATTGCTTCATTAGTAAGTTACTTAGAATGCTATGTTTTTTTCCCCCCCTAAAAGGTATGTCATTTTGAAGACTGACATTGCACTTTTATCCTTGAGGATTAAGGAGATCTTTGGGAAAGTCTATTTTATCTAGTAAGTAAGTAAATGTTTTTATCCAACATCTGTATTTGAGTAGTTTACTGAAATTTTGGTAGGAAAATATCACTGAAGTTTGTCAATGAGACATAAACCGAACTAGAATTCTTATCTGTTAAAAAAAAGGGAGGGGATGTAAATAGATCCATTAAATTACATCAGAACACTTTTGTATTACTATTAAAATAGTTGATGCATGGTAAAATGCATATGATTTACATTGATGAATGTAATTATATGGTACATTAAGACATTTAATACCTCCCTATAAAATGGTTCTTTAGGATTACGGTTAAATTTGTAGTAGAGTCATCAGTATATATCATTATAATGTAGAGGTACATTCCTTACCTTTTTTTTTTTTAATGCTACAGCCGAATTTTAGGGATGACCTAGATTTTTTCATTTGCTGATTGAAAGATTCTTTAAACAGCTACAATTTCAAAATCCAAATATGCACTATCATATCCTGGTTTTTATTAAATGTATTTAAAATAATCATTTCCCTTCTTCATTAGTTTATTTTTAAACACATATAAAAATTAGCTATTTTCCAGGAAACTAGAGGTATTGCACATAAAGAAACCTTTGATTATAGCTTAGTAATTGTTTTTAAACCATAATAGGTAGAAATAGTGTTCAATCATAAACCATGGAACCAATACATTAACATCCTAAAATTGGATAAGTGAATGAAGAAAATATGCCCACTGGTACTTTTAAGGAAATGTTTTCGTTCATACAAAGATAACATTGAATTTAGAAGTTAATGTCAAATTGTTATTAGTGATTGGCCAGAGGAAATATGAAATAAAATGAGAAATAGTTTGGGAACTTTTAAGAATAGACAAATAATTAAAATAAGGGCAGGTTTATCTTTGTTTTTGGAATTTACGTGAAAAATAAAGTACAATCTTTTTATTGGTTGGTGTTGGCTTATTCCATTGATCCGAATAGGTGATAAGGGGAATTTTTATTGTTTTTGTTTTTGCTTAACTTTTCCTTTTCAAGCCTTTCAACAATTTGATTACATTTTTGTTTATTATTTTGTGCAGAAAGAAATGTGTAACTTAACTATATAGTGTCTTACAGGTAGAACCTACTGAAAAAGTTGACTTTCTTCGTTCCAGGGTTGTTTAATACAAATGCCAAGATTAGATTCACTCTGTGCAATTTGACAAAATGTCAAATTGGCATTCATGAATTGGGCATTGTTAGAACAATTGAGAATTAGGTATTTTCTATAAAGCGTAAGTTCTAAGTACAAATAGGTACATATTTATAATGGCCTATCAAAGGTGTAATTTGTTCTGTTGGAGGAAAAAATGAGTTTAAGGTGAGAAATTTTAAATGAGGCTTTTTTATCTTTAACTTCATATTAGTAATTTTTTAACAAGACTTCCAAGTGATATAGTAACTAAATTAATCCCCAGTCTAATGGGATATAACTTTGTTATAACACATGAGGTATAAAGGATTAGAATAAATCACATTTTATAAAGGTCTACATGTGCTTGGATCCTTAATAATAATGCTTATATTCTGTGTTTGAATATTTATTGCTTGAGCCAGTTTTAAATAGGGGACATATTTGATCGGCATACGAGGGCAAATGTGAATGTAGATATTATTCTACATTGGTAAAATTATATTATCTGTAAGATGCATAGTAGATGGTGTATATAGTATTATATTGCTTGAAATTGTTTAATAAGAAAGGTAAGTTATATACTAAAGTTTCTTGCTTAAGAACCAAAGTGACATATTTGTATCACTCGTACCAAGTGATAACATTTTAGCATTTTGGAATAATGCTTGTATTATAAAAATCTGGTGATTATGTGATTAGGTTGGACTGCATTTGATTTTCTTTTTAAAAAAATTCTTGACATTCCATAGGAATGAAAGAAGCTGTGCGTAGCTAGATGACAGGTATTGTAAACAATGACCTGACATTTACAGTCTAGACTATATGAAATAGGTAATTTTCTTGAAGTTTAGTTTTCTCTTTATAGTTTCTTAACTATTAAAAAATTTGGGCTATGAATAACTAGTTAATTTTTTTTTCTCTGAGATTTTATTGTTTGTGGAAAGGCATAATTGAAAAAGAAAGATAATTTGAGGGCATTTCTATATTCTGCTTTAATCAAAGGTGAAAAATATAATCAAAATTCAGCTAAATTAGGAGATCAGCTTCTAATGTAGCAAGCTCTGCAGTTTTGACATTTATTCTATAGACCTTCATCCTCTTAATTTATATGAAGGCTTTAGAGTTTATAATCTCTTAAGATCCTTCTTAGTTCTTAAATTGTGATAAAAATAATGGTAAGRAATATTTAATTCTCATGCAGATTCATTTTTGCATTACAAGTTGTGTTATTTCTGTGTTGAAGCTGTTGGAATAACAGAATACCTGGGGTGATAGTATACTTGACTTTCTCATTGATTTTTGGTCATTTCCAGATATTAGTAGTAGAAATAGATACACTGGAAAATTAATTAAGGTGCAAAATTGTCTTTAAACAAAGGATTTAGAATGCTGCAATAAAATTATTTTTTGGTTTTTCTTTTTTTTTAAATTTTTTAGTTATACATGGGCACAATATCTTTATTTTGTTTGTTTATTTTTATGTGGTGCTGAGGATTGAATCCAGTGCCTCACATTTGTGAGGCAAGTGAGGATCGAACCCAGTGCCTCACATTTGTGAGGCAAGTGCTCTGCCACTGAGCCACAATCTCAGCCCCTATTTTTTGTTTTTTCTATTTATTACTTTAATAAAGACATTTAATCTGTTGAATATATTTTCATAAAATCTTTGTAGTATACAACATTATAAACAAGATGCTTGTAGTTTGCATGCCTGGTATAATCTGTTTAACTTCCTTTAAGAATTTTATGCATTTCAAAGATAAATGTTCTTATTTTTACCTGCTACCTTCCCCTTTCAGATGGATGCAAACTTTTCAAATTGGCTATTAAATATAATTATATTCAAAAAGGTCCTTATAATTTAAATTGAAGCGAAATGTCATAAGTAATATGTTACTTGACATTTATGTACCAATTATGTGTTATATTCTGTATAACAATCTGGCAAAAATTTAATTTATCTATTATGCAATACTTGATAGGTCCATGTTTCAGAAAACAATCCTTTTATATTTGAAACTAAGTCATTTGTTTGAAATTGAGTATTTCCTAAGCAAGCAATTAAGTCTTTAAAGTGTACTATGTGATGATCATAATAATTTTAATTTAGGTTATCAGGCTAGTTTTTTTTTTTTTTTAACTGTAATGATTTTTGAGTTGTCTTAAAGAATTAAGTTTTCTTAGGATTCCTAATGACTTTATAGTATAACTATCATTATGGTTGTAATGATAGTTTATAACTATCATTACCCTATTTTTAAGATTCCTATGTTCATATGGCTCTAGATTTTAGACTTAATTTAAATTTTCAAAGTTTTTAAAGGAGTTTTAAGTATTTTATTCTAAAAGATCAAGTAGCAAATGGTAATTTATATAATTTGTTATTAAATCATAAATTATAATGTTGGGAAATATGTAGGACAGAAATACAAGCAAAACATCAACTTTAATAGTCTGTTTAAGATGAACGTGGCTCTTCCATTCCCAGTTTCAAAAGATGGCAAAGTACAGACTTTGTCAATTTTGAGAAAGGAGACTGAYATCAGTCGTTTTTCCTGAGGGTACAAAGTAAAGATACAAGTTCTTTTTTTCGTTTTGGTGTGGGAGAACCCAAAAGCACATATTTGTGGTACTACTAGCTAACCTATTTGTTAAATAGATTATCTGATCAGTATTAGGGATTTCCCTTAGAAATTTCTTTCACTGAAATTCTTTTTTAACTCAAGCCTGGTGCAGTGGCACACACCTGTCATCCCAGCTGCTTGGGAAGCTGAGGCAGGAGGATCCTGAGTTCAGAGTCAGCCTCAGCAACAAAGTGGCTCCCTGGATGGTTAAGTGCCCCTGGGTTCAATCCCTGGTACAAGAAAAGACAAGACTAAGTCAGCTCTACCCTTCTCTAAAGGATTAAATCAGTTATTAAATCAGTTGGTTGATTTAAGGTTTGTCTTCACAAAATCTTCTTTTCCTTATAGGGTCAGATTAAATTTAGAAGCTTTAAAGCGTATTTCTTTTGAATTGCTTCAACATTTTGGGAAGATGTTTTAGTATACATACTTTTTAAAAAAAATCTTGGTACTGGGAATTAAACCCAGGAGTGCTTTACTATTGAGCTAGTAAAGCACCAGTTCTTTTTAAATTTTTTAAAATTTGAGACAGGGTCTTACTAAGTAACCTAGGGACTTGCCAAGTTGCTAAAGATGGCCTTGAATTTGTGATCCTCCTGCCTCAGCCTTCTGAGTTGCTGGGATTACAGAATGTGACACCATTCCTGGCTAGTGTCTACTCTTAACAGTAATTTTAAGTCAGCTCTTTGCTATATTCCTTGATAATGATTTGTCAAAATGAAATTTAGATTTGGTAAGATAAACCAGGATATACCCTTTAATTTGAAAGCTAGTCCTTCAACAGCATTTTGGTACGTTAGTTTTAACTTAAATCTTAAAGGTAAGCTTTACCTTTTGCTGTCTAAAAACTTTAAATTGTTACATATTTTTATTGAACTTTGAAAGAGTATTATTGTATCTCTACTTCTCTTTTTTTAATGTGGAACTGGAGATAGGACCCAGGGGTGCTGTATCCCTGAGCTACATCCCCAGCCTTTTTTTCTATTTTGAGATAGGGTCTCGATAAGTTGCTGAGGCTGGTCTCAAATGTGGAACTTCCTGCTTCTGCTTCTTTAGTGGGATTTCAGGTGTGTCCCACCAAACCCAGTTTTATTTCGCTGTAAACCTAGGGCCTTGCGCATATCAGGCAAGTGATGTAAGACAGAACTAAATTCTGTCTTACGTATTACTATCTCTACATATCACTGTGATTATATAATCATTTAGAAACAGGACTAACTACAAAAGTATATACCTGGATTCAGAAGGTATTTGAGATATGGGCTAGGCGAGAGGTGGCACACACCTATAATTCCATTGGAGGCTGAGAATAGGAGGAGTGTGAGTTCAAAGCCAGCCTCAGAAAAGCAATGCCCMCCCCCCACCCCAAAGGTATTTGAGATATGGGAAACACTGTTTTTCATGTTAACTTATCAGACATTTAAGTCTTACTAGTGAAAAGCATAGTATTTATTACCAAGTACATATTTTATAGAGAGTGTTATTTAGTTCCAGTAGATCAGTCAATTAGTAGTTTGAAACCATGCTTTCAGTTTCCTAACACTTTATCTTAGTGTTGGTTATGTACATGCTTATGTACATTATGTTGAATATAATACATGATAATGTGAAATAATGTGGCACTATCAGTGAATCATTTTTAGAAGGCTTGAAAGTAAATTAGATGAAAGACCAGAAGATGAAATAATTGTGCATCTTTGGGAGTGATGTTGACTTTATTTTCAATTCTGGCTGCCCATCAGATCTACCTAGAAAACTCAAATATTTTCTTAATCTGTTAGAGTTCATGGGGGCTGAGATTTAGGTTTTTAATTTTAGTGTGATTTATTCTAAAAGTGAACTAAATTTAAGATTCTTCAGAGCTTTTCTGTCTTGTGCATGACCATATTGTTCACAAATACATGTTTACCTTGGTTTGTTAGTGAGTGATCCTTATAAGATGTTAAAATTTCAGGATGAATTCTGGTATACATTTTGGTATAAACAATCTTATTTTTGCTGATTGTGGTGGTACATGCCTGTAATCCCAGTGATTCAGGGAGCTGAGGCAGGAGGATTACAAATTCAGGCCAACCTGGGCAATTTAGTGAGACCCTGTTTCAAAAAAAACCTGGGATGTAGCTCAGTGGTGGAGTGTTCCTTGGTTTCAGTCACCAGTAAGGCCCCTACCCSCCCCCCCCCAATTCATTTTGTAGTTTCCTATGTATAAAATTATATTCTTTGTGTCTTCTACAGAAGAATGACTCCCCAGATGGAACAATCTAAAGGACCCATACAACATAGTAATCATTGGTGGAAACATTTAGTAAGTATTATTTAATTTACATGTTTAATCTGCTTGTAGTTTTAAATTGTGAATGAACCTTTTTTTGAGTCGGAATTATAAAAATATAGCGGAATTTAGCAAAGCTAAAAAATAGTACAAGAATACCAATATGGTAATGTGTGTAAAGTTTGATAATCACATTTTTACTTATTAATTTTACCTATTTTCTGTTTCATTACTTAAACTTAAATAAAATTAAAATGTGAACAAACTCACAGTTGAACCTGTTTCTGACATTCTGTCTTAGATCTGGATGTTGGAAACTTATCCTTGTTTTTGTAAATAAAGTTTTTCTTTGCAGTATACCTGTACTTTTTCATTGATATGCTTTGTGGTTGCTTTCACGCTATAGTATTAAGAGTTGAGCAGTTGTACCAAATAGCCACATAACCTAAAATAATTTACTACCTGGTCCTCTAAGGAAAACTTGCTGACATTTGTTCTAGATCTGTCTTGTTAACTTAATCTTGCCTATGTATAATTCAGGAGTCCTTGGGTTCTCTTTAGGTAATACAACATACTTTAAGTGATTTTTCAGTATTGTAATTGTTTTGAATAAATTAGGGAATTCTGAACTTCCTTAAATTTGAAAGCCCAATACTGAGAAGTAGTGAGAAAGAGTATGGTGGGTGGTTTTATTTAAATGGATTTGGTGAATCCTCAAATGGATTTATTTGTCATCAATAGGGCTTTTTAGGTAATTGTATACTAGCTACTTCATAAGAGTAATTCTTTTGAAATATTTGGGAGTCTAGTTCTAGAAATTTTTCTCTTAATTTCTACCATGGCTTCCCATTGTATAAATGGCTACTAAGGCCTGCAAAATATTTGTTCCTTTGTTTTTTTTTTTTTTTTTTTTTTTTTAATTTTGATGAGAGAGAGGAAGCATAAAGCTGGAAACTTTCTTAATGTACAGTTACTAGGCTCATTTCTGATCATGCTTTAAAGAAGTTAGTTGCATTGTACATTGTAGATGCTCAATAAATACTTGTTGATTTATTATATAATTTTTGTTAAACATCAACTTGTATTTAGAATTTAAAAAAATGAAAATGAAATTCATTATTAAAACAAATGTTAAATATTAAGTTTTAGAAAACCAAAGTTTTGACTCAGTTAAAATTAAAACTGAAGATAATCAGATATTCCCCCACCTCCCCTAATTCTTAACTTGGTTAATACGTAGTCAAGTTTAAAACTAATAGGTACAATTGGAAATATTTGATTGAGTTGTAAATCTTTCTGGGTTCCTTTTCTTGGTTATTATAAGTGACCTTTTTCTTCTAGTAAGCTGATCTTTTTTTGTAGTTAGTTTTTATGCCTATCTTTTATAAGACCCGGAATTGTTTATATATTCTATTGAGGATTTAAGCAATTTTTTAAAATAGTGCAGTATAATGAGTGTTCATCTTTTAGGGTTTTCTTACATAAATTTTTATCATATTTAAAGACTAAGTACAGATGAGATTGAAATCATATTGTAAGCACCAAGATTCTCAGTTACATGATGAGATGGATGAATTTTTCCTCTGATTTGTAATTTTGCATGTGTTTGATTATTTGATTTTGAAATGTGCTTAAATTTTAAAATAATATATATAAATTACATTAAATTAATGACAGTTTTATTAGAGCCACCTATTTTATTTTTTGGTATAGGGATTGAACCCAGAGGTGCACAACCACTGAGCTACATCCCTAGTCCTTTTTATTTTGAGATGGGGGTCTCACTAAGTTGGTTAGGACCTTGCTAAATTGCTAAGGCTGGCTTTGAAGTTTCAATCCTCCTACCTCAGCCTCCTAAGCTGCTGGAATTAACAGATGTTCATTGCCATTCCCAGCAGTACCACCATTTTTAAAAATTAAGAATCATCAATCATTTTCATGTACTCTTTTCTTTCCCCCATATTTTTATTTGCTATTACAAATGGCATAGTTTGCTGAGAAGTAGTGGTAGACTGTTTGGGGAGTCCTCCAATCTAGATAAAGTCATTTCTTGCATCTCACTTTACAGTGTAGTTTCTACTGGCCCAGTGTTTTTGCAAGGAATTTAGTGAAGTACAAATGCAAGAAAAGACTTATATGCTCATTTCATGTTCTTATTTTCCATAAGTGGAGGATTTGAAGGACTAGTAGTTRATCATTATCCTGTTGCCATTGAAACTTTTGCCTTTGCTGTGGGACTTGTTCTTGGAACAAGAATATATTCCTTGAAATGTAAACCTAGTGAACACTGAAGTGGGAAAATTCTAACTATTCACATTATGAGCTTGAGCCTTATGTGTGAAGCACAGAAAAGATGTAGGTCTTTTTAATTATGGAATTCTAGACTAAAGCATCATCTAGTAAGTATGTCTGTAGTAATTCATGAGTTACTGGAGAGGGAAGTGGAGTAGGGCTTTGACTAAGTGAAACCTATCCAAGGTTTTTTTTGAAGGATACTGATTATATTTTAATACAGTACTCCCTCATTAAATTGGAATGTGTTTTGTTTTTAAATAATTGGTCCTACGATTCTATGTGTTCTTCTGAGGTAGCCTTACTTTTGAATATAAATTATTTTCATTTGGTATTTGAGGTGCTTAATAATCTGCTTAGTGGTACATTGGGACGATAGCCAACATTTGTTGAGATCTTTCTATATGCCATATAATGTGTTACAAACACTAATTCATTTAATCCTTACTATTGCCAGAAGAGGTAGATAATACAATTATTTCTGTTTCACAGATGATCTATGGATTTTGTTAGCAAGAAAATTTCCAGCCTCACAGAACTCATGGCTAATTCCCTTCTCATTTTTTAACAAAACTTCGCTTATTTACAAATTTAGTTTTTATAAGAATTTGAACGCCATGAATATAAATGGATTACCTCTGAATCCCTCATTGACATTTTATTAGTTCTGATTCTTGTATTAGTGCTTTTGCTTCTTAGCAAAATTCTCACTTTTGGCTTTGTATTGATATGCAGAAGTTTAGATTGATTTTGGCTTTACAATGTCATAAGAGTTGTCTGCTTTTTCTAGTAGCATTTTTTCTTTACAATTTTCTTTTTCTATCTTAAATATATGCTTTTGTGATGGTATGACAAATAATGCTGCTATTTTCTAATCTAATATTGTCATATAAACTAGTGCATTTTTTGAATAATTTTGAAGTCATTTGATTGCCTTTTGATGTTTTTACTATTTTTGTTTTTTAAATAATAGTCTTGAAAAGAAATTTCATATTATCATCCAAGTTTTACCTCTTGTTCCTTGGCAGGATATAAACCAGTGAGTTTCTCATTTAATGTACCAAAATGAATAAATAGCACCTGTAGTTGTTAGTGATTGTAACATGTTATTAATGAATTAGTGTCATTATGCATCATAATTATTTATATCACCAATATAATTTAGAGCTTTATCCTTCATTGTAACAATAGAGATTGAGGAGAATTTGGTTTATAATTAACGGTGAGTAAGAAATGATGGAGCTGGGGTAGTGGTGCATGCCTGTAATCCCAGCTGCTTGGGAGGCTAATGCAGGAGGATCAAAATTTTGAGGCCACCCTCCTCAATTTAGTGAGATCTTATCTCAAAAAATAAAAAGGGTTGGGGATATGGCTAAGTGGTTGAGAGCCCCTATAGTGGTTCAATCTCGATATTGCCCTTCCCCCTCAAAGGGAATGGTATGTTTGTATTAAAAATAGCCATCATTTCTTAATTTCTAAGAAATATATAAGACAAATTGAAGATACTTTATTATGGGAATGAATGAGTTATTTCTCATTTTAAGACAGGAGAGAACTCCAAAGTCTATTAAGAAATATCTTGCTTTTGAAGGTAACAATTAATCACTCATTTCTTTTTTAATAGGGTGGCAGGATCTTTTTGGTTTTGTTATGTAATAGACAACATATCCTAATAATAGTCAGAAATGGAAATTTACATTCAATGAGCAAAAAATGACTTTATATTTATTTTTCTACAAGTTAGTCCTGTCTCTGTAAATTGAGATTGAGAGTTGTAAGATTTATAGAGAAAGGGTAGAAACTTGTTTTTGCATTTATGTTTTATCAAGATGAATCCAGATAATTTTCTTAGTGGTAAAATCACCTGKCTTCTCACTGTTCCATTAGTCCAAATTATTTAAATTATAGTTTTATTTTTCTTTGAGGAACATTTGATATTTTGGCATTGAAAGTATTTAGTTATATAAAATTTGGAAATTTGATATCATTTTAAAGCAAATACCCAATAAGCAAGGTAGACATTTTATGTTTTTCATTCTTTTTTCCTGGTGGCTTCATATTTTCTGCATTTTCAGATGTGTAAGTAAAAATGGTGCCATTTATATAGGCCATTTGTATTTATCTAAACAAAATTAACATGTTAGACTAGAAAAGTATGCTATGATCTTCTGCTTTTTTTTTTTAATCCCTTAAGATTCTTTTCTATAATTAGTTTTCTTTGAAGGCACTTGGAAACTTTTCTGCATTGAGATTTAGAATCCACAGTGTTTCTGTAATTTTAGCTTTCCAGGAATTTTGAATTTGAATTTTTGTTCTTTTTGTGTACCCAGTATGATACTAGTATTAAGTATTAAAAATTTGACTCTCTAGTGCCCCTTTTTATTAGATACAAATGTAGCTGACAGAAGAACTTAGTTACTTGTGTAAGTTTTTTCATTGATTCTGTTTTAGAAGTCCTTGCATATAACTTCAGTATAATAGTTTCATAAGTGTAAACTGTTAATGGAATTAAAAGTTTGGGGTATGGTAGGATATTTTCATGGTGGGCGGATGTTTTCTGTTTGAAGGAATAAGATTATTGGTATTCCAACAGCATTTTTTTTCTTTAATTTTTTTTTTTTTTTTTTTTTATCAAGCACCCAGTCAGCTTGAAGAGTCTCAAATGGACCTTACCACTGAGAAATCAAGATGGCAGTCCACTATGGGGACATGAGGAAAATGGATTAATACAAGAGTGCTGTGATAATACACAACCAAGACAGGGTTCTTTTAACATGGATTCCATGAAATGAATGAATGAAGATATAGGTTTCTTACCCAACACAAATGGACAGTGGATTTGACTTTCAAAAAACTTTTGTATCATTAAAACCAGTGCATTTTTGACCTTGGAGAAGACAGCACGGTAGTTTGTATGTTTGGAATTTTTTGCCTTTTGATTTGTTTTGAGCATGACCTCATGGAATGTTAACTTTAATAAAATTTCTAACACTTAAAAATTTCTCAGTTTGGGCCTTTTTTTTTTTTTTTTAAGTAGAAGTCTTATATGTTCAGTTACCGCCTTATTAACACTTTGACTTTTACAGTTGCCCAGCAGTAAAGTATAGTGAATAAAGCTGGTAAAATGAAAATGGTGTGCTGGAAAGTGTTTTATTTGGCTGATTAAGATTTAATGTTTTTGACTAAGCTTTACAAATTTACTTGTTCTTTGGGATGGTCATTTGATTAAAATGTGATTTTGTGTTTATAAGTTTTGGGTGAATTCCTTGAATTTCTATTTTTTTAAACACTTTGCAAAACAAGTTAATTAATGGATAATCAGAGAATATTCAGTGTGCCATCATATTTTAGTAAGCTTTTGAAACAGTGTTTGTTGCCCTCAAACTCAGTTATTTCTCTCTGAATTATCCTTTGTTGATTGAAATGGTCCCTTTACCTTCGCTTTTTAATATTACAAATAAAACATCTTGCAATAGAATATTCATCTAAATATTTAAGTTAAACTGATGTCTCATTGTCTTAATATTGGGGGAAGATGTGTTGGATTTATAGGGAAGTGTCTTTAGGGTTTATACAAAAAGACGTAAATAGTTTGTGGTAATGTGTATAATACAGTTTATGTACATTTCAAACAGGATTGGTATCTTGTGTCTTATTGTTACAATTGGTTATTTAAAATGAATCACCATGCCATATTATTACCTGTGTTTGAATTTCAAGTACCAGGTTCTCATTTGTTGCTGATAACTAATAATAGTTTTAGTTACTATAATATTATTAAGTTGATATGCTTTATTTTGATAGAACAAATGAATCATTGATCATATTTTCTCATAGCAGAATGAAGAATAGTTCAGGTTAATTTTTTTTGTTAGAAATAATCATAAAGGGTTTGTGATTAATGTCAAATATAATAGTGGACAAATCTATGGTCAATATTCATGTAGTATTTGTTCTGATTGATTGATATGAGGGGCTGTTTGATCTTTGTGTATGTTCCAAAGTGCAATTGTGGATTTTGATTTTGATACTGAAGTTTTTGTAGAATTGAAGGAGTTTTAATTGTGGATTTTATGTTTACCTAGATTCAACATTGTTGTTTTTGTTGGTTGCAAATCTAAAATGGATTTCTGTAGTGAGGGAAGGACATGGTTCTGACAAAAATATAATTTTGAGTAAGGAAAGTTGAGTGGATTTTTTTTTTTTTTTTTTTTTAAGGAGACATGAATGTGTTGTCTGCATGGATGCTTGATGAGATCATTGACTAATAGTTTTTGACAACAGTAATAATTTTGTTTCTTTAGATCTTATGGTTTTGATCTTTAGGAGACTGCTCTGTGACATTACCTTGATAACTTGCCATCAGATCTGATCTATTGTTAATAACCTATCATTGTTGAGATGGGTATACACTTAAAATTTGTATATTATTGAAGTAATAAGGAAATGGTTGGGAGATGTGTATGTTCTGTTGATGTTTGGAAATGGAGTTTCTTGGGTTTCTGATTTAAAGGTGACTGTGGTTGGTCCTTATTCTTGAATTTGAAGTACTTTGTTTTGCCTAAATTAGTGTGGGAAGAAAATATAATACTGAGAATGTTTTGTTGGGTGAAGATCCAGGGTTATATAATGGGTTAATGATTTTTGTGTACCAAGAAATACTGAGATTTTTGGGAAAAGATTGTTAACTTTTGCTCTACTGCAAGTGAACACTAGGGAGGCGCTCTTGAGTTGTAAAAATTACCCCTTTCTTCCAGTTGGGATTGAAAATTCCCCCTTAAACTTTGTCTTTAAATGATTTTAAAGCATCATGAAGAATGCAAGGCTTGAATTTAATTTATACAATTGAGGTTTTACTTTTATTTAGAAAACATTTTACCCATGGGGGGTTAATTTTTTAAAAAGATAAGTACTTAAGCTAAGCTTTAGATTCTCCAAGAATTATCCCTATTTCAAAATGGCTTGATAAAACACCACTTCCTGTCCAGGGAGGAAGTTATTTTAGCACAAGGATTGAAATATTTAGCAGATCTTTAGACAAAAGGAACAAATTACATTTCTCTCTGGCTTAAAAAGGGTGCTTGAGCCAGAGGGGGTTAAGAAGCCCTTCCCCCTCCCCCTGTTGGGGTGGTCTGGAGGGGCAGGGAGGTGTGGGGGTGGGGGTCTTCAGGCTCCCTGGGATGGAGGATCTTTTTTTTTTTTTTTTTTTTTTGGTGGAGATGAAGGGGTGGGTCTATGGTACATCACCTGAGTTGTGGGGTAAATGTAGAGAGTGTCAATCAAAGGCAGAGCTCTCAGAGCTGGGAAGGAGGCTCTAGATGGCGGCTGTGCCTTAGAGAGAGCGCGCTCTGCTCCCTGCCTTTGCCTCACTTTACGCAACTTTCCCTAACTTTCGGGCAGCCTCAGGGGGCCCCCGCAGCCCCCTGCCTCTCCTAGTGACTTACTGGGGTCGATTTGAACCTTTTTTAGGGAGAAAAGCAGCTTTTAGGAGCTTTCTTTTCGTGCCTTGTTGGAAAGAAGCAGCCGTACTGAGAGCCCAGGTCGTTGTTTTTTCCAGCTTAGAAGCCATGGCGCACCTCCATTTTTGTGCGCTCTCCTAATGAGGTTTTTTTTCTTCCGGACCTGTTTTAGTATTAATTATTGCTTTATTTTTTGAACAGTTGACATATTTGAGGATTATTTTATTTATTTTTCGTTTTTAAAGGAGGATTTTGCCTTTATTTTTAATTATTTTGGATCTGATATTTTTCTACTACTAGATAGGACTCTTGCTTTGGACATTACTACATGGATCAGGTAAGTTCACTATCATTAGTGATAATTTCAAAGATTTATGTGTTAAAGTTTGCTTTATTTTCTGTAAATAAGAGAAATTCCTGGATGACGCAATAAGATACAGAGATTGTTATTTGTATCCAGTGTGTTACTTTGAGAAACTTTCCTTATTGATAGTGATGCTTTCAGTGTTTGGTTTATCCTGTTTCTTTTTTTTTAAGGAAAAAATGGAAATATTTCTGTATTTTGGTGCTTAATGTTGTTGCATTATAACAATATCATTAACATCGTCAGGACTTTGTTCCTGATAATAAAAACCATCCATAGGAGCCGGGACCTTACCTTTCTTTCAACTTTTGACAGTAAATACCTGGGCACAGGACTTCAAAGCAAACAGATTCCCCCTCCCCCTTAATATTTAAGAATTAAAAAGATGATGAGAAATAAGGACAAAAGCCAAGAGGAGGACAGTTCGCTACACAGCAATGCATCGAGGTATGAGCTATCAACTTTCTTCCTTTTTGTCTTTTTTGGGGGGGGAAACCTCAGCTTACAATTGTTTACCTTGACAGACATGTAATGCTGTCTGTGTTATAAGTATTTTTCTGATTTGGATTAGTTTTTTAAAGCGTGACCTTGAGATTGCTAATATGCCACACCCTAATTTTTTGGTCGCATTTTGTGAAAGTTGAGTTGTGACTTAGGGCCTCTTAGAGCAGTCAAAAGGTAAGGTACCTTTATTCAAAGGGGCCTTTCCTGTAAACTACAGTTTTTCTGTTAGTAAATTTCAGTTTTTAGGTTTTTGTGCTGCAGAAAAATGACCTTGTCGGTTTAGCCATTGCTGCATTGCACCATTTTACATACAAGGCAAATTTTTTCTTTGAAGAATCTCGGATATCCAAACTTGTAACTGAGGGCCATAGAGGAGCCTTGTAGTAGTAAATTATAGTAAATAGACATTTGAGAAAGTTATATGAATGAAAAAATGTACATTTAAAAATGAAATTGCAAAAAGGACACTTTGACTGATGCCTCTCAGTTTATATTTTTATTTGACTCTACATTTCTTTTGATACACTTGACAATTTAGGAATTTTTGATGATTTATCAAAACCTTTACTTGGTAGCAGTTCCTGAATTTATGAAATCAAACCTGTAATCACAGAAATCCTGGAATGCTGTTAATATACTTCTGCTTTGTGTTTGTATTGTGATTTTATTTATAATTGTATATTTTACATTTAAAATAACTTAAGGTTTACATTTATATACTTASGAAGATTGTGCTTTCTATTTGGTAGATGTAGTATTTTTTCCTCATATCTTAGTTGTTGCTGCTTTAAATTTATTGATTTATTTCGACAGAATCGCCTGGAATGCTTTATCTTCTGAAGCTTATAAATGTACTGTTTGTTCAAATCATAATTTGTTTCACATTCCTTGGAGTAGCTTATTAGTGATTTAAGTAATAAACTCTTTAAGATGTTTTTGTTAAATGATCTCTGTATCTTAATTTCTAAAAGTACATGAATGCATTTTGGGATGTGTTTTTAAGAATTGTCATGTTATAAATTTTAAATCATGCAGTTAACAAGAATGTGATGGGTTATGTGTTTTTTTTTTTCTTCACAATTTTGATTTTATTTTTCTGTAACTATATATATTCTAATTATTAGGATAGTAAATTTGGAAGTTTTGAATATGGTTTATTCCAAATGTTGACTTTTGCTTTAGACTAAAATATCTTGAACCTTTCTTTTAAAAATATATTTGCAAACTACTTTTGCATATTGAGATAATTTTTGGATGTCTTTCAAATTGAATTGTCCATGTAATTACTAGGTTATATGTAGGACAAAAACTACTTATCGTACACTGATTTTTCTGGAAAGTTATGACAATTTGAAGAAATAGTTTCCCCAGATATATTTGACAGATTATTAAAGATTCAGTTCTAAAATGTTGCTCCCTTGAGTGTATGATTTGCATAGTCTCACATGGGTTTTGGCTTTCTTATGTAAGGTTTGTGGTTAACTTCATTGATCAATGCTTTCTAATGTAGAAAACTGAGCAGTGCTGCCATTCTTTTAATATTTTTACTCTCATCTAGAAAACTACTTGGAAGTTGTTATGAATTTGACTACTTGGAGTTAACAGCTGAATAAGAAGCCATGTATTTAAAGCCTTTTGCCAAGTAATCTGTAAATCATACACCTGATGAATGT